GTCATGCCTACTGAGACACTCCAGACATGAATGATGATTAATAGAAACAGTTATCAGTGGTACCTTTAGGATATTTTATGTAGTCTAAAGTCTACTGAGACACTCCAGACACGAATGATGATTAATAGAAACAGTTATCAGTGGTACCTTTAGGATATTTTATGTAGTCATGCCTACTGAGACACTCCAGACACGAATGATGATTAATAGAAACAGTTATCAGTGGTACCTTTAGGATATTTTATGTAGTCATGCCTACTGAGACACTCCAGACACGAATGATGATTAATAGAAACAGTTATCAGTGGTACCTTTAGGATATTTTATGTAGTCATGCCTACTGAGACACTCCAAACATGAAAGATGATTAATAGAAACAGTTATCAGTGGTACCTTTAGAACATTTTATGTAGTCTAAAGTCTACTGAGACACTCCAAACATGAATGATGATTAATAGAAACAGTTATCAGTGATACCTTTAGAATATTTTATGTATTCATGCCTACTGAGACACTCCAAACATGAATGATGATTAACAGAAACAGTTATCAGTGGTACCTTTAGAACATCTTATGTAGTCTAAAGTCTACTGAGACACTCCAGACATGAATAATGATTAATAGAAACAGTTATCAGTGGTACCTTTGGAACATTTTATGTATTCATGCCTATTGAGACACTCTAAACATGAATGATGATTAATAGAAACAGTTATCAGTGGTACCTTTAGAACATTTTATGTATTCATGCCTACTGAGACACTCCAGACATGAATGATGATTAATAGAAACAGTTATCAGTGGTACCTTTAGGATATTTTATGTAGTCATGCCTACTGAGACACTCCAAACATGAATGATGATTAATAGAAACAGTAATCAGTGGTACCTTCAGGATATTTTATGTAGTCATGCCTACTCAGACACTCCAGACATGAATGATGATTAATAGAAACAGTTATCAGTGGTACCTTCAGGATATTTCATGTAGTCATGCCTACTGAGACACTCCAAACATGAATGATGATTAATAGAAACAGTTATCAGTGGTACCTTCAGGATATTTCACGTAGTCATGCCTACTGAGACACTCCAAACATGAATGATGATTAATAGAAGCAGTTATCAGTGGTACCTTCAGAATATTTTATGTATTCATGCCTACTGAGACACTCCAAACATGAATGATGATTAATAGAAACAGTTATCAGTGGTACCTTTAGAATATTTTATGTAGTCATGCCTACTGAGACACTCCGAACATGATTGATGATTAATAGAAAC